CATTTGCAAGTCCATTATATTGTAGATGCATTTACAATCCTTCTAAAAATTGTACGAGTTCTTTTAAAACCGATATTATTTAAAGTTTGTCTTGGCACTGAAGAATTTGTATCTCTAAAAAGGATCGCTGTGAACAATAAAAGACCAGCGTAGACTTTTGCGTTCGTTTTGCACTAATGTCCTTGGAAAAGGCAAGAATTCCTCAATCCTACCTCAACCAGCTATGGGTATAGTAGCAGTGTATATTGAGCTCTGTCTTTGAATGGTAGCCGGTCTAGGAGAAAGGCTATTTTCCATTGAGGAAGCAAATCAAGTATCTTTGCTAAGAATTTATGGCAATTCACAGATATTAAAATAAAAGGAAGCTGTAGAGAGTCATCGTCCGGTAGGGGTAGGACATTTATAAAATTATAAAAATTATAGGGGTAGGACATTTATAACATTATAAGATTATAGGGCTAGGACATTTATAGCAAACTTATTGCTGGTTTCAGCCATCTGCCATGCGCTGTTTAAATAAATAATAAAAAAAATAATAAAAGTATATAATAAATTTCTCTCACAAGATCTACAAATCCACAATTCGCCCTTGCATGGTGTATTGCTGCCATATATGGTCTGGTGCCCCTTCTGTCAGCCTCGGGGTTCCAGAGGCGGATATGCAATGTGGTTGGCCCTGCCCTGGCGTCTCGTCTACAGTCACTTTCTCACAGACGCGCCGTCGCCTCCCTCTGCCTGTTCTACAAATACTTTCATGGAAATTGTTCCGAGGAGCTGCATTCGCTGGTTCCCAGACGTCACGAGTTCCAGCGCCTCACGAGGCTGGCATCCCGCTGTCACCCCTTCATTGTCGAAACTCCTAAATATAGCCGTCTCTTCTACTGCAATAGCTTCATGTCTCACACCTCTCGCCTGTGGAACTCCCTTCCTTATTTCTGTTTCCCTGTGAGCTATAATCTCCAGCTATTCAAGTGTAATGTCAATCGACATCTCCAGTTGCCTTGATCTATCCACTACTCTTCTCCTCATCCTTTCTTCTATCACTCCTATCTGATCTTGCTCTAAATTTTCTGTAACCCCTTGCGACCTAGTGGCTTCCCGCCTTGCTTGGGGTGAAGCGCTTAAAAAAATAAAACCCCAAAAAACCCCCAAAAAACTAAAATACAGCATCAGAAGATGATGCTGGAAAATGGTAAAGACGTGTGTATTTAAAAATATTTTAAAAATTGTTTTGTTATAAATTTGTTAAATGTTACGATTTGAATGGGCGCTTGACCGAATAGAATGTTCGAATTCTGATTTTGAGACCCGATTTTCATGGTCGATTTGACAGGGAATTGGTTTCTTGATGTTATTGGTCTAGGGAAGTGAACCCAGTGCGGACCGTTGGAAAGTTCGTAAAAAACATACCTTGCCTTGAATTTCGGTTGACAGGACCGTTCGGAAGACATCGATGGTTGTGCCAGCAGGAACTCAAAAGTCACCAAGGTAGAGAGAGAGTTTGAGCTTTTTTTTTTTTTTTTAAACATTACGTCCCGAGTAACTCGTGAAGCCACTAGGATGCAGGGGGTTGCAGAAGATTTGGAGCGAGAGCAGATAGGAGTGATAGAAGAAAGGATGAAGAGAGGGATAGTGGGTAGATCAAGGTAACTGGAGATGTCGATTGACATTACATTTGAATAGTTGGAGATTATAGCTCTCAGGGAAACAGTAATTGGGAAGGGTGTTCCACAGGCGAGAGGTGCGAGGTATGAAACTATTGGAGTAGAAGAGACGGCTACATTTAAAAGTTTCTTCAATGTAAGGGTGAGAGCGGGATGCCAGCCTCGTAGGGCGCTTGAATTCAAGGAGTCTGGGAACCAGTGAAAGCAGCTCAGCGGAGCAATTATCATGGAAGTATTTGTAGAAAAGACAGAGAGAGGCGACGGCGCGTCTGTGAGAGACTGTAGACGAGATGCCTGATCAGGGCCAATTATATTACATATCCGTCTCTGGATCTTGTCAAGAACTCCGAGGTAAAGAGAAGGTGCCCCAGACCATATATAGCAGCAATACTCCATGCCAGGGCGAATGGCTGATTTGTATATTTGAAGTATCGATTCCGGGGAGAAAAATTTCCTGGCGCGTCACAGAGAGCCGACATTCCTCGCGGTGGACGAAGCAATTGACTCAATGTATTTGTTCCATCTCAGGTCAGCAGTCAACGTGAAACCGAGCAGACGCAGAGAGTTGCTCTCAAGAAGTTGACTATCAGACATTCTAATGGCGGGGCAGGTAAGGATCTCTATGTTGATTAATAGAGAGTAGTTTAGTTTTCGAGGCGTTAAAGTTGACCAGCCAGTTCTTGCCCCAGTTAACAACCGATTGGAGATCTACCATGTTAAAAAAAAAAGTTATGCGCTCACTGTAACTAATTCCTATTCAGCATCAATGCAGAATAAAGCACAGTTTGTTTTCTTTAAGTTGAGCAGGAGTCTGTAATAGGATTTGGCTAGACAATCTAGTAGATACTCGGAAAAGAACAGCGTCTTTATCTTTTCTTTTATTTGTAATATATCCGGTTGGTGGAAACTATATTAAGGACTAAATATCATTAAATATCATTATTAATATCTGTCTACATCTCTGAGATGAGCCATTAAGACTACTTGCATGATTTACATTATTCGGACGGTTATCCTCATCTTCATTGACATATTCACAACGATTCAGCCTTTGTACGTTCCGGCCTTCTTCAATATCAGGCCACAGCAGTGGTGAACCAAAAACTTGGAGAGTTGAGTTAAAGGGAAATAACTGAGACATCTGGAAGAGTCATGGCACGTTGAACTAGAAAATTCTACCCCGGTGAAGGAAATAAAGGGTTCGGTTCGAAATTCCAATCACTTGAAGAAAGCCGAAACGTTGTGAATATGTCAATGAAGATGAGGATAACAGTCCGAATAATGTAAATAATTCAAATAGACATTATTAACGAAAATTTAGCCTTGAAAGTATAACGGTTTTCGGGAAATTTCTCATCTGTAATGGAGCGCAGAGTTTTTTTTTTTTTTAATTATAGAGTTATATAAAGATATTAAAATAAAAATCTGCAAATAAAATAAAATAAAAATAAAATAAAATAAAAAAAAAAAATAAAAAAATAAAATAAAATAAAATAAATAAAATAAATAAATAAAATAAAATAAAATAAATAAAATAAATAAAATAAAATAAATAAAATAAAATAAAATAAATAAAATAAAATAAATAAAATAAATAAAATAAAATAAAATAAATAAAATAAAAAAAAAAAAAAATAAAATAAAATAAAATAAAATAAATAAATAAAATAAATAAAATAAATAAAATAAAATAAAATAAATAAAATAAATAAAATAAAATAAATAAAATAAAATAAAAATCTGCAAATAAAAAATGCAAAAAAAAAAAAGAATTAGAACTTTTTAAAAGAGTTCATTGTGTTCAACATTATTATGATTTTGTAGATGTTTTTGTAATCATTTCAACCCAAGCATGGCAATAAAACCACTAAGACTCGAGAGGGTTACTGAGTGTGAAAGAGTCCGATAGAGAGAAAAATTATTGAGGAGAGAGGGCAACAAAATAACAGGAATTAAGAAGACAGATGTTGATTGACATTGAATTAAAATTTTTGTAGATCAAAGGTGATTTGAAAGCAAGAAACAGGAAAAGAGTTCTGCAAATGAATTGTGCGCGAGAAAAAAAAAAACTGATAGCATAGAAAGTATGCTTATATCTAGCAATTTCAGCTGTAAAATGATGAGACCGAAGTGCCAATCTAGTATTTCACTTAAATTCGTAAAGTCGAGGTAGCAAAGAGGAAAGCTCACCAGAACCATTAAAATGAAGATATTTATAGAAAAGGTACAGTGAATCTACATTAGAGCGATGGGAAAACGTCTGAAACCAAGATGTCAAGTCAGGTGCGATAATAATTGCAAATTCTTTCGATTTTGTTACGAATCTATAACTACACAGCAGAAGCACCAGCCCAGATGTAAATGTGTGGAAAGAAGACGAATTTCTTTATCTCTGCATAAATTTCAAATAGTTTCCTTTTGTAAGACAATGAGGAGATCTTGAATCAGGCCATCCACGTCATTCTTATTAATCCCATTCATAACTGCGATAAAATCGGTTAGAATTTTAGTTGAGAATGCATAGTAATAGAGTGAATGATTTTCAAAGTGTCGTCATCAAATATCTGCTTTTTACATCTGAGAGAAACTACAGGAGTCGACACAGTTTCCTCTTTACATCTTCCAGAAATTAGGCATTGAACTACATACTTACAAGCCACATGTTGAATAATTCAACCAAAAAGAAATACATTACAGTGAAGGCGATGTATTTCAAAAAGAAAAAAAAAAGGCTTATTACCGCCTCAGCAATAATATAAAAAGTAAATTACACGCACCGATTTTGTTTCACAACTTGTTATTTTTTTCTTCTTGTGGTGAAAGTTTGTGTCGTAAAAAAATACGAAATAAATAAAATAAAATAAAAAGAAAGAAGACATGTTTTTAATTTTATTTTCTGGAGCAGATAAAACGAGCAAAACATAAAAAAGTCTGTTTGTGTTCGGTTTAGTGATTTGATTTGCTCGACTGTTTTGTATCTAATCGATCACAGAGTATATACTTGTCTACCTCAGAATTTTTTTTTTTTTTTTTTGTTGAATAACGAATTCGTCTCTACTCTTAATTCTTTTGGCTGCAAATAGCTTTTAGCAAAGGGGCAACGTTCATATATTCGATTTTATTACTTTTGTATTAATGTTTGTATAAAACAGTTAGGAAGCAAACGACGGGTTCGATCTTAGCTGGGTGACATTTCGGTTAAATATAATATAATGTCCGGCTACTGGTTTCAGGACACAAACTTATCAGGACGCCTACTCAGACCCCTTTGTGTTTCTTCAACACTCACAGAGTCCACTTGCAGTTTATACTGCAACTATGCTGGGTGAATATAACAACTGTTTCTTGAGAGAGAGGGGGAGAGAGAAAGAGAGAGAGAGACACGGACAGACAGACGAACACAGAGACACTGACAGAGAATGACATAGAGAGAGAGAGAAACAGTGAGAGAGTCAGAGACAGAGAGAGAGAGAGAGAGAGAGAGAGAGAAAGGTAGACAGAGAGAAAGAGAGCCAGAGACAGTGAGAAAGTGAGACACAGAAAGAAAGAAAGTCAGAGACAGGGACAGATAAAGAGACAGACAGACACAGAGAACGACAGAGACAGCCAGAGAGAGAGAGAGAGAGAGAGAGAGAGAGAGAGAGAGAGTCAGAGACAGAGAGAAAGACTGCCTTAAACAGGTATTGAACTCGGCCATTATATATATATATATATATATATATATATATATATATATATATATATATATATATATATATATATATATATATATATATATATATATATATATATATATATATATATATATATATATATATATATATATCAAACCAAGACAATAGTCCGACTATAAATACTGTATAAATAATGATTCCTCCTCATCTCAGAAAATTCAAACTTGACTTTATTATAGAAAATACTAATTTTAATATTAACTCCGAGGAATTGCTTTTTAGACGTTATCTTAAAAAACATAAAAAATCATTATCTAAATCTACTCGTGTACATGTGCTGTAAAAATGACGGCAGTTGTTAAAATGTTTTAATAGTAAGATGCGATGAAACATGAAAGTTTTAAGAGTCAATAAAGCAGAGATAAAGAATTAACAACCAAAATCGAGGCCAATGATCCATTTAATTAATCCGTACCCTTTATATGCTTTCGACGGTAAATGGTGTCTATAATGCATTACATTGATAAGAGTGGCTCGAAATGGAAACCTCGAAAGGGAAAGATTAGCAACAAAACGACAAATACGGGGACGACAAAACCTTAAGACCAAGTTGAAGCAAAATGAAGTAGACAAAACTATATGAGTGCCTCGCAGAGAAAGACTTGAATAAAAAATGTCTAAGGAACGCTGTAAGAAGAGAACGGGTTAATTAAACGGTTCATTTTGCTCGGGAACTAATTTCGTCTGAATAAAGGTAAATATTTGTATAGATTATTAAAATGACTAAGGGAAGTAACCACACATAAATTTATTATCTTAAGTTGATTTACCCCCCTTCTCACTATAGAACCTGACACAAAATTTCTAAATAAATAAAGAGATAAGTACACAATGCTAATTATTGTATAGTAGTTTTTTTTAACATTTGTTTGTAGGCGTCTATTGTAGCACGATGAATTGTAAGAACTTATTGACTATACCTGGACCCTAATCCTCGATAGATTATCCACTTGTGTTTCGTCATCACTTACTAAATTTAGTAAATATGTTACAGTTATGAACCTAGTTATGTCCAGCCATTCACTGGTAAACGATCTCGATTCTTTTCTGTTGTAACCTTTTTAACAGGTTTAACTTGGTAAACATCTGTACGTTAATGTTATGCTGTCATATACATGTATGCATATTTCATCTTGTAAGCTTGTACTGTTTAAACCTGCGTTAGTACGACGCTATATTATCATTGTAATAGTATTGCGATGTTTTCAAACACTACATTTAAAATATAATTTGGTTCTTAATTTTCTTATATACTGAGCTTTCCTTCTGAATGCTATAAGATAAAGATGAAAAAAAAAGAAAGGAAAATCAAATTAAAAAGCTAATATTAACAAATGAATTTGTAAAATTCAGTTTTGCAAAAATACATTTGTCTATATCTCTGAGATGAGGTATTATTATTATTATACTATTTACATCATTCGGACTATTGTCCTCATCTTTGTGGCCATATTTATTAAAACGTTTCAGTCGTTGTACGCTCCGGCCTTCTTCAGGCGGTTGGAATGTCGAACTGAACCCTTTACTTCGCTCACTGGGGTAAACATTTCTAGTTCCATGTGCCATGTTTTAATGGGTGTCAGTTATCAGTTATCTTCTGGTAATTTCCCTCTCCAAGTTCTCCACTGCCTTAACCGGGTATTGAACTCACACTCTTGCCATGTGTCCTTGAGGAAAGATAGACAGGTATTATAATTACTTGCATTATTTACATTATTCGGAATGTTATCCTCATCGTCGTTGCCATATTCACAACGTTTCGGCCATTGTACGCTCCGGCCTTATTCAGGTGATTGGAATTTCGAATCGAACCCTTTATTTCATCCATCTGGGTAGATTGTTCTAGTTCCACGTGCCATACCTCTTCCAGGTGTCTCAGTTATTTCCCTGATATTGAAGAAGGCCGGAGCGTACAAAGGCCGAATCGTTGTGAATATGTCAATGAAGATGAGGATAAAAGTTCGAATAATGTGAATAATGCAAGTAAAAATACATTTCCCTTTATTTTCCGTATGGTATTTTAAAACAGTTTACTATCAGACATTTCTTCAACTGTTTTAAACATTGTTAGCAACGAATATGAGGGTTACTGTGATTTTTGC